TGAAAATTTTGCCGGAAACCACTACTGGTGCCAAAAACCCCGTTGGGTCGAAAAGTTGGGCTACTTCGCTTAACACCTGTCGCTTAGTCGGCAGACCGCTATGTTGGTTTACCGCGACCTTAAAGAGCAAATCGTCTGTAACTGGATCCCAACGTAGACCCAGCACGGTTGCTATAGGGGCGTCGATATCTCGCTCCGCAGGTAATGGGGAGTCCATGAAATGCTGAAGAACCATTGACTTGTTCGAATTCCACTTACGTAGTTTGAAGCATCCAGATGATAGAATCGTATCCACCGCATTCGCCAAGGTAATTGCTTCCTGAGTATCAGCACAGCTTGTGAGAAAATCGTCCACGTAAAATGAAGACAGTATGGTGTTACGTGCGGTTATGGCCTGATTATGATCACTCACCCGATTGTAGTTGTCTATCGCGCACTGATTTAATGAGCGTACCGCGTTGTACGGGCTGCATGCCATTCCATATGTCACAGTTTTAAGACGATATACTCTTATGTCCTCGGCCGGTGCTTCTCGCCAAAGAATTCGTTGTAGATCTCGGTCCTTTGGAGCTACCAGAACTTGACGAAACATCTTTTCCACATCCGCCGTAAGAGCGACGGGGTATCTCCGGAAGCGAAGTATAATGTTAATCAAAGGGTCTTGAAGACTGGGTCCCACCAATTGTATTTCGTTAAGCGAGACGCCATTAGAAGTTCGCGCCGATGCGTTAAAAACGACGCGGAATTTCTCTGTCACCGCATGATGCGGAATGTATTATGTACGGGAGTGATCACCTGGGTTATCCACGGGTTCCATGTGACCCAATTCGATGTACTCCCTCATGAACTCTATATATTTATCACGCATGTCTTTATCGACCGTCAGCCGGCGCTCCAAACGATGAAACTGTCGTACGGCATTATAATATGAATCGCCCAGCTCTGAGGCATCACCCCGTATCGGGAGGCGTACCATGTAGCGGCCCTCCGGAGTACGCGTGTGTGTCTTCGAAAATATCAGCTCGCTCTCGTCATCAACAGTCTCAGTGCCCGCAGGCTCATCTTCCAGCTTCCAGAAGTTACTCAAAATTGCATCTAAACGACTATCTTCCAAAATCTGAGCACGATATGACTGCAAGCTAGGTATGTCGTGGTTGGCTGTGGATGTTGGACCGAAGATGACCCAACCCAACCGCGTAAGTTGAGCATGAGGTTCGTTCTGCCCACCACGAATGATGTCTCCTTCCAAGATGAGACCCCAAAAATCGGCCCCTAATAATAGGTCGATGACGCCTGGTGTACCAAGATTTGGATCTGCCATGTGCAGACCAGCCAAATGTTTATAACGTTTCACATCGATCTGCGCTGCCGGAATGACCGAGGTAATCGACGTGATAACTAATGCTTCAATCGCCATTGCGAAGTCAGAATGTGTTGATTCAATCGTAATTTGTACCACACCCTTTGTGCGCGTACATGAGAAGGCGCCAATACCTTCCACCAAGACGTCGTACGCACTTCTGTGAAGATTTAGACTGTTAGCAAAACTTTCTGATATAAAGCTTACTTGTGATCCGGGATCGCACAAGATCCGAGCTAAACGTTTTCCTGAGTTAGTGCCGGAAATGTACGCGCATGCTGTTGCCAGGAGCGTGGTATGCCCACCTTGAGTATGGCAGCCAATTGCCGATTCGGATAGTCATAAAGATGATGATGTGGGCGTAGATGACTTAACCTGCGACGATGGGGGATTGGACGTGGCAGGCATGGCGGCCTTCGATGCCGCAGCTGCTGCAGTGTTTGGAGAATCGCGGCAGAAAATTGTATTGTGTTTGCGTCCGCACTTATGGCATCCACCTGAAGAGCACTGGTTGGATAAATGCCCTTGTCCTAAACAATTAAAGCACAGACCAGACTTTCTTAGGGCCTCAAATCGTTTTTCTGGCGGCAAATCTAATATTCTTGGACAACGTATGATCTTGTGAGCACCCTGGCAGTATGGACACTTAGAATTCTCGGACGCTAAATTGCATTTAACTGCACGTGCTGATGACGATCGCCCTTGCTGACGTCCTACCCCTGGTTCAGAGCCGGGACGCACCCGTACAAGCTCTGTGGAAAGACTGTGCGCTCTCTTCTCCAGAAATTTCAATAAATCTGTTAAGCTGCTTATCTCAGTCGGAGAACAGTGCATGCACCACTCATGCTGTGTTACAGATGGAAGTTTCGAGAATACAATGGGTACTGTCAATGCGTCCCACTCAGTCACTGGCAATTTCATAACAGTCAATGCACGCAGGGACTCGCTCACTACATCGACGATATTCAGCAGCGTCTTTGCAGAGTCCTCCGACACTGGTGCGAGGTTGAGGAAGCGAGCGACATGTACTTCTGCTAACTGCTTGGGGTTATCATACCGCTCATTTAATGCTCGCCACAATTCCTTGTAACCTCCCGAATACAGACCACCCACCAGAGGAACCGATGCTGATGGCACAGCTTGACGCAATTTACCGAGTTTATATGCTGGCGGTAAATCCCTGTTGTGCACTAATGTTTCAAAGGCGTCCTTAAAGGTCAACCAATTGTGCAGCGCTCCGTCAAAGGTTGGAATGTTTAATGGCTCGAGTTTCAACTCAATAGGCGAATCTCCCTTACGCTGGATGACGGAGTCTCCAGGATTAACTTGCACTCTACGTAGACGCAGAAGACTTGCACATAACTCGTTGTACATTTCTTCAGTGGAATGCCACCAAGATGTATGTACCTCAAGCTCCTCGTCTTTGGCCGAGCGAATTAATGTTTCGT